AGATGCATTTCTCTTCTCTCAAAAGTTTGCAAATTTAAGACCTCGTACATTATAGTTAATAAAAAATATATGTGATTCTATGTTAATTTGAAATAGTAAGACCTCTTGAAAGATTTTAAAGAACCGATAAATATAATTACAATTGAATCTATTTCAAATCACACGCGAGACAAGTCGAGGTAATTGCACGTGACCTCGCCCACACCTTCGTCTCTCGTGTGTCGAATGAGCACACGGAATGGCACAATGCCGACAACGCGTCGTCGTTAAAAAGCTCCACGTGCAGTATATACTGTATTTCTATACACTTACGTTAACGCCGCAAAGGCGTCTGCGAATGCGATTTACCATACAAATCGGCTGTTCTCTCGCCAAAGCTCGCATTGCACATACATGCACGCGATACTTGTCGCGCAAACACGTCTATCTACCGGGTGTGTCATTGGCTGGCGCGTTACCAAAGTTTCGAAACGTTACGACACGGAGACAAGTTCGGAACGTCGCGGCATCGGCCTCGAAGTGCGTTACGTTCGTTAACGCAATCACAAGACATCACGGGAATCTATTTTTTTAATCAAAGGGTATTAAGATTTGAATATCACATCTGTACCTGCTTACAACAATTCGGCAAAATGCTAATTGAATATATATATTAATCGATTTTTAAAAACTCGGAGTTGAATCTTTCTCACCCATTTTAGGCTTACTTGATACTGAAAACGGTAATCTTACTGATTTCCGATAGAATATAACAGATACTAAAATATTTAAAGTTATATAAATTATAGGGTAATGATAAGTGACTTCTCTTATTCATTTTTTACAAAATCTTCAATAAATCTTCAATTATTGATTGCTACATTTAATTTCTAAATGTATTAACATTTATAATAGTAATATCATAATGTCAGTTGAAATCTGCTTCTGCTACATAAAATTCATATCCAAGAATTAACTATTTTATTGCGACAATTTATATTATTTTTAGATCGCAAGGACCATGACTGCAAGAATGCTATAAATAATTTCAAGATGTAATGGCCCGTTTCAACGGCAAAAAGTTAGTCAGACCGATGGTCGGTCGACAGGTGCGAATGGCAGCCGACAGGTGACAATGTGCGGTCGACCTGTGAGTCGAACGTGGAACGGCTTTAATTACCTAGTCGAACGTTTCCGTCCAATCTAACAGAGTCGCCGCCTATATCCGGAGATACGAGTTTTCACAATATTATCAATGTACATGCGGAAACAAAAATATCTGTCTAGATATTAGCTGTCAGATAGGTATATGTAATAAAATAAGACATTTATACATTTTAAAATTTATACATTTAAGATACAAAAATGTGCAAATTGGACAGCACGATATAAAACGCGATAATATATACGTATAATCGCCCAAATAATAATTAATAATATGTATATATTGAAGCTGTAAGAATTAAGTTTTAAGGCAATAATCTACGGAAATTACATATTACATTGCATATCGTCGCAAAAGTGTATTCTTTATTAAAAGTAACTAAAAAATCAAAGCCATATTAGTCATGGATCAAAGATTTGCTCTCTACAAATCTGCGAAAGATCATTTCAGCTGGTCAGATCATTCCGTAACCCTCTTTTGCGTCGGAGCCAAAGAATCGTTCCGTAGCACGTCTGACCGCAGCCTACTTTTAACGCATAGCAATCCCCGTCGCGGGCGTCGGCTAGCGTGAAGATCCTACAATTCCATCCAGCAGAACACAATCCTGTTCCCATCTCCTCGAAAAGGACTCGCCCACCTACCCACTTCGGCATCGCGATGCTACGCGACACTATACGGCATGCCGCCGTGCGTTTCTTTTCACGCGAAAAGTATACAGAATGTCGATTATTATTGCGAATGCCGGCGGCGACCTGGTTTTACCGTCAAGTTTAATGTTTATTTATCGAGTTCACGGTTCATCCTCTTTCCGGCCCAGTTATCGCGCTCTGCGTTGCGTTCACGTCGCGAGAAAATACCAATCTCGGGAATACAGTGGCGTAAGAAATTACACTCGGGTTATTATAAGAGATAAAAGAGAGAGTTTGATATTATATTTTGCACACATTAAAGTGTATTATAGAAAATTAGATTTACACTTTGTTTAAGACATACACGCCAAAATTTGCCATTACACGATTATATCGCGCTCATTATATCAAGCTTAAGTTCTAACGTTTCTCTTTGCATCTCACAAGATTTGTAACTTATGAATTCCTTTAAAGATCGCGTACTTTTTAATAAAATTTCATAGCGACGTAATTATTAATTTATTACTTTTATATTAGCGATGCAGTGATTGACTAAAATAAATTTAATGTTTGATTAACATCAATCTACATTGACAAATATCAATTTTATTTTAAATAAATTTATGGCTTCCTTCTTGCAATATATATGTATATAATGCGGTGCTTAACAGACTGTTATCTAATGGAGAGAAAGTGTCACTCCCCAAATAAAGAAATTCCTGTTGCGTTTTGGTAGTTGGGTTTATCGACCCTGTTTTGTTATTGCGACATTCGAAATCGCTTGTTCTCCCGGTTGTAATATACACAACTCGACACGTGTGGGCTGACTTATCGAATCCTGCTCGCAATCGCACGATTTGTATTTCGTCACGTGTACGACCCACTTGAGCCATGAAATACGCGCTAGAGCGAGAACATCAGCCCGGAACGGCGATTTCCAACCGCCAATTTGCGAAGGCAGTTTTATACCGAAAGACAAAATCCAAGGGTTAATTGCAGGGAAATTTTTGCTGTTCAAGTAGCCGTGAAAGTTAATTCAACGATCTATTTGCTAACAGGCTTTTAAAATAACTCACTTTCAAGACAGAATTATTGGGAACAAAATAAATGCACTAAAAATATTATATATTAATATAATAGTTATATATAAATGGATGAGTTAAACAAACATGTTAAAAGAGAAGAGAAAACTTCGAAATTAGAAGGCGATTTTTATTTCAAAATAAAAAAAATCGTAGATTTTGCAAAGTTTTTTTTTTGTCTTCTGAATATCGACAATTATTTGTAATTGTAGGTTCGACCCTAATTTTCGCAGGTGCTCAACGAAGCGCGCGGTAAAATCAATGCCGGGACTCGAATGTGGCACGTGTGCTATACGTGTACTCAGTTCCACCCGAGGAAGCAACGGCTTTGTGCGAATTTTAATGCCTCCGTTGGTTGTAGAGTCCTCATATAATTTTACGCTTTGTCGATAAAATTTAATTAGGCGATTTCTTTTGCCGCCCGGCGGAACTTCTGAATAACGCGCGGCGCGTTAGATATACGATATCAATTATTATTCCCCACGAGCCATATAAACGCGAAACGCTTGTTAATGCGCCGTTAGACATTCGATTTGGTTTCACGAGAATTACGCTACTCAATGCGATTTCTCAGGACCGAAGTTAAAACGGTAAACATAAATGTTTGGACACATACAGAATCTGTACATGTAAGATATAACTAATTGCAAGAGAGAATACAAGAAATCTGAATTTTCATCTATGTTAATTTTCTATTGTCTGAATGAATGAATTAATGAATTTTCTATTTCGCGAAATACAAGAAAAATACGCGAAATATATGTCTCGATAAAAATAGATACTAATTTAATTAGTGATGTTTTTAATGAAAGATTAAAAATAACGTATCTTAGCAATGAATAATAATGAATTTTTAGAAGAAGGCACCAAGATGATTCATGTCGTACAACTGTATAATTTATAATAAGATGAAAAAATATGCACGTAGGATCTATCAAACCTCGGTATAGATTTGTAAGATTCAAACATCTGGTACATCGCGCTACGTGAAACCTGTTCAACCGAAGTGCTCATTTGTCACTAGTTTTAGATCTGCCGGTTTCTTTGTTCGACGCTATATGGACGGTACAACGTCAGCGGCCGCGCGCACGTATTATGAAAAGCAGAAATCCGTGTAAGAGAAGAACCGTTAACGCACCGCGCTCGCGCAGGTATACATACATATAAATGCGTATACTCGCGCTTCTCCTCAATTACCCATTACTACTACGAGCGCGTATTCACCTCGCGCGAACACGTTCTTTTTATTAACGGCAACTACCGCGCACATGCGTATGTGATGCACCTGCGATGACTAACAGTAACGCGTGAATGGGAAAGAGAACGAGAAGGAGATAGGGCGATTGGGCTCGATCTACGCGAATTGAGACAATCGCGCGAGAGCCGCGAGTTGCTCCACCGGTTTGCCACGAATCTTATCTAACCACGATGCCATCGTCGATTACGGTATACGTCACATTTAACAGTTTCCGCAGATAATGTCAAAGATAACGTGTGTTGTAAGTTATTAATTGCACTGGCAATCCTGCACTCATCGTACAGGAAAATTAAATAGAGAAATAAATAGACAGAATTAATATTGTACCCTCCCAAATTCTTGTACATTTCTTAAATTATGATTTTTACCGGTAAAAATACAAGTGTGTTTTTAAAGACAGAAAAAGACCAAAAAACCGGGATATCGAAAACTAAATAGATGTAACTTTCATTGTCGTGATGATATTTAAACGAAATTATTTAATTCAACTAATTTGTTTTTACGCATATAATAACACACTTTTTTAGACCTCAAAGTTTATTAATTTCATTTTTATTTCATATCTTTGTTTTTAAACAACTAAAGATAAAGTTAACATCGCAATAAAATTACGAGTTGAGTAGTATCGATCAGTATCGATCATCAAAAAAGATCGATCACAAACGAGTTTCATATATCATTGCAAAACCACTTAAGATTAAAGAATTAAATATAGAAAATTTGTGACGAATGGCAACTCTATTTTTATATTCCAATATTTGGATATTTTATTTTGTGCCCAGAAATTTTCATCGCTGCTATAGAAAAAGAATGCTTTAAGTAGCTTTTACAAAAAAGGAGTATCGTCGCGAGTGTATATCTTCTCCATATAATGTCAGTCCCTTTACCTGTCTTGCCTATCGGCGGTTGCCCTAATCTGCTAAACCACCTGAAGAATCTCCTGGCCGTCGTGGCCGCCGGTGGTCTGCAGCCATCCAAAATAACCACGCCGTTGTTGTTGTTATTGTTGTTATTATTGTTGGACCCACCGCGATCCGGCGGTGCCGTCCTGCTGTAGGGCGACATCCAGGCCGTCGTCGTGCTCTGTATGGTGGCACCCTTGACGGTGGTGATGGAACTGGTTATCTTGGCGCCCGGGTGGGGCACCCAGTCCTCCGAAGCGACCGGCATTTGTCTCGTCTTCTCGTCGGACGAGTCGAAGACGAAGCCGCAGAATACGAAGGTCATTCAAAGTCGCTTGCAGCCCTGCCGCACTAGTAATTGAGCCCTCTCTTCCGGAGGGGGAGAGGAATTTCCGGAGTACCTCCGCTTTCTGCCCCCTCGACAAAGACTCCTTTAAGAATACTCTCGCGTCGATACCTCGAATAACGTTGTCTACATCGCGCACTGTCGCGATGCTGCGAACTTCGAAGAATATATAGAGATCGGAAATTCTCTCGAACCTGCGAAACTCGGGCCTGCGAGTTCGATATCGCGATTTACGGAACTGGCGTTCGGAGCGCGATTAAAAACGCGAATTCGAAGCGTCAAGCTTTTCGGAATTCTCGCGGAGAGATATACACTTGCGTCGCGTTGAGCCGCTGTTTATCGACTGACCGCTCTCTCGCGACTTATTGTCTGCTCGTCGCAAAATCTCGAAGCCCTTATCGGCGACGAGCAAATGTTATCGCGCTAATGCGCGCGTCACCGGGTGATGCTCTTACGTAAGGACAAACACTTTAATTGATTCGAACGCGCTGCTCTCGCCACGTGCTCCTCCTCAACTTGTTGCGTGTTTAACGCAACCCCGCGGTGCTCCGAAATCGATCGGTACTCCGAGCTCGGAAGAGCGCGTAACGCCGAAACTTAGACCTGCGGATCTCGATCGCGGTGACGTCTAAGATTCCGTTTCCTGATAATCCGGGAAAAGCGGTTTTAGCGGAATCGACTACGAGACGACGACGGTCCACTTGTTGAGCCTGCGAGACACAGCTTACGAACGGTTCCGCGAAGTCCCCGATGGTTCTCCAATTAATCCAGGATCTTCCTATCGCGAGATTAAGCTCTTCCTTAGAACATAGACTCCGTTAAGCGAAATCGAGAAGAGATTATTGCACGTTCGGTTAATAGGTTTTGCTATTTGGTACGTTACAAGGTACTCCGTTTCCAGGGGGGTTGCAGCCTTACAAAGTAATACTAAACGCCGTACATCACGAGGGCCCTCGTTACCGCGACACGTCCCGCACCGTCGAACATCCGTCTATAACAGCGTGGCGTGATCACGACGTCGTTGTGCCCCGCACGCTACCACACAACAACCCGACACTTGGAGGTCGAGGTTAGATATATATAATTTCTCTTTCTTTCTCTCCCCCTCTCTCTCCTTCTTTCTTTCGATCACCGCCGGTCGTGCTCGGTCGATCACGCAGCTCCCTCATTACTCGCGCATCGCCGCGCTGCGGAGAACTATCATCACCGTGCGCAGTTCATTCGCCCTGAACGCGAGCAGACGACTCCGGAATGCCGACGACTTCGGACAACGGCGGTTACCGATCTTTCTCTCTCTCTCTTGCGAAGGACGAACAATTCGTCGTGGAATTTCACTGTGCACGTCTGCAATCGTATTCACGTCACTGAATAGGCGAGATCAAAAATCACACTCGCGGAAAACCACGTTTAACCCATCTTGGAAGGGCACGGGAGCGCCGGTTGCGCAACTCTCGCGAAGGACACGTTTTCTCGGTCTCGTATTCCACTCGGGGCTCACACACGCGCGCGCGCGCGCGCGTCCACCCGCACGTACACGACGAGGACGCGGGCGATCTCGACCACGAAGAGACCGGAATCGCTCGCTCGCTCGCTCGCTCGACTCGACTCGACTCGGGTTCGCTCCTTCGGGGGCTCGCGATAGACTCCGCACGCCGCTAACGTACCCACCTCGCCGTGCCTCTCTTCCACCACCTCGTTCACCGCGGCGCGGCTCGCGCGTTGCTCGTAGAAGACTGCCGCTAATTCCCCCCACCGACTTTCTTGCGCGCTTCCCCGCTCCGGGACACGCACACCCGCGCGCGCGAACATAACTTACCACACAACCACCGTCACTGCTCACCACTACCTGCGCGACCGCAACACACAGCCCGCTCGCCGCCGTCACCCCCTTTACCCTCGCATCTCGCGCGGAGCTACGTAAAGGCCGTATTACGTCGCGCGTATTGAGAATGGAGGAACTCGATTCAAAATTGGAGTCGGTTAGTCGTATAGGCGGACAAATTTCACATACGAATGCCGAAAACAGAATCGTATACATACAAATATCGAAAACATGTCAAGAATCTTCGCCTGTGATTACGTGGTGCATTTGAAATACGAAAAAAGGAGAAATCTCGCTCTCCAAATGGAAGCAGAAATCGTATATGAATGCGTAAATCATCTTCCTATTTTTCTCTTCGTGCGTATTACCAGCGGCGCTACAGAAACAGTGATGATGAATCGCTAACCGAGATTTACTCGAGTAGACGTTAATTTTGAATTATGATTTCTGTGAATTTTATTGCCGGTTTCGACCTCCGACGTGAAGCGTGAAACAGGCTTAATCGTCTCTTTATCTTACTGTGCTTCTTCCTATCCTCCTGCTCTGCCCGCCTGTAGGCCTGTATCTTCATCTCTTTTCCTATCCGTGACTAGACCGGTCTCTCGTGAACACACGTGTGGCGCATGTACACAAGCAAGCATACTTGATACTTCCCTCTACCGCACACTACACGATGCCGTACGCGTCTGTTGGACTCGCCGCGCCGGGTCGTCAGGTCGGCAGGTTCGTCGCCCACGGACCCTTTTCGACTCTCGTAGAAACTTTTTCGGAAACGTGGTAACCGAATGAAACGCCAAGAGAAATAAAAACAACGCAGGAATACAAGTGTTAATAATGAATTAATAAAACGAGAGCGCCAGCTCTTATCTCTTCTCTTATCTATTTGTTCATTTATTTACAAAATTTTGCAGCCAATACCCCCGACGGGAAAAGATGCGCGACGACGGTGGACTGGCGAGACGATGCGACGCTATTTGAGACGTGTGTCTGCCTCACATTGGGTATCGCGTGGTATTGTGTGCGACGCGAAAGAGGCGTAGGCGGTGCAACGCAAGCACACGCACGTGTACGTGAATACATGACGGCTGAGGAGGAGGGACCGAGAGATCGGGCCCCACCGACGCTGGCGCACCGTGACTGACAGAGAGCTGCTCTCTCGCGCGTACATGTGCGTGTGTGTGTGTGTGTGTGTATGCACGACTCGGTTGCATCCCCCCACCTTGCACGATGCACCGAGGTGGTTTTACCTGCGCGCCGCAATCATGCGGTCTTTCGTCGCGCCATGTTTGAAAGTTTCTAAGCCTCCCTCGAGCCCCGTCGCGCACCCCGCGAGACCGCGCCGCGAGAGAGCCCGCGATATAATCGAATGACGAAAATATATTTAGCGGCTGGACAATCTCTTTTCTCTCGTTTCTAAGCGTATATCGAGTTAGAACCCCTAACGCTCTCGCGGTTCCGGCGCGTTGACTCTTCTCGACTCTTCGCCTTTATCTTCACGCGAATAACCGACTCACGCGGATGAAACGCGACGCGATAGCGCGAACGGTTTTCTCCTCGGTTCGCCGAGATCGAAATGCGATTCATATTCAACGAGCCGGCGTTATCGACCTTTATTGTATCCTCGATATTTGCTGCGAGGCTCCAATTTATCGGCGCTCTAGGAGCGTGACGTTCACGCGCCTCGGTTACGTCCGCGTTCTCAGAACCGGTCAATTGATTCGCTGATAAGTTTAAACAGCGATTCGACATGTACGATCGATAAGTGATCGCTCGGGCGGCGTATGGCTGGTTGCTAACTGGTGTACGAGGGAAAACAAGGGATAACGACGCGCGCGGAACGCGAAAGGGAGGAACAGGAGATAGGCGGGAAGATAATAGAGTAAAATGGAACAGGAATCTATTGTAGGCTCTGGAACAAAGCTTTCAGAATTGCTTGCAAAGTTGAAGCGTATTAAATCCACGTGAATTAATAATATGAAGAAAAATGGCGAGTATTATGATGGAATGCTAGACTCCGGTGACGGATACAACGGAAGTAGATAAAATTTTGCAGTTTAAACAAATAAGTTGCCGAGAATATAAAATATTTAAATAAACGAAACCTATAAATGTAAAAACGTTGTATGTACCTTGTGCATAAATGCGTAATAAAAAAGGAGAAGAATAAGGAAGAGCAAAGCGAGAGGAACTCTCGAGGGCGCTTCCCTGGTAATTTCTTCTTTCCTGTACTATTGACAAACGGGTGAACGTCGCATTCTCGTTGAAAATGGAAAGTCGAGGCAATTATTATTCGGCCGAGCAGCGTAACAGAGCCCGTTCCAAAGGCAAAGTAAAAACAGAAAGCGTGTCCGCGCGCGAGCGCAAACGCAGCGAGACTTCACGCCCGCGTGTGGTGGCGTTTAACGTCCGTCGTTTCTGCAGACAAGACGTGCTTGCGGGGGTTTCGGATACGAACGCACACGCGTAAGCGACACGTTGAACCTCACGTTACCGCAAATGCATACGAACTACGGTTACAAAGAGTCCCATTACAAGCGAATGTTTCATGGGAATCAGAAGTGGAACGAGGAGAAATGCCATTTAGGTTCTCAGATCAGCACGTGAACTCTTTTTAAAACTACAGAAATTGGACTTCTTAATTATAAGCCAATTTTTATATATATATGTTAAAAGGTTAAAAAGTATTTCTTTATAGATCACATGTATATTTTAGTTTCAGTTTAGTTGAAACCAGATTTCTCTAAGAAAATGATTATTATTTATGTAAATTTTTTACTGGATAACAGAATAGCATTAAACAATATATTGTATAAAGGAATCATCCAAGTTTTCAGTTTTATAAACTGATGCATAAAAATTAAGTATCTACTGTGTTAATCTTGACCATTTGACTTTTGGTAACTCATATGCAATCCATAATTCAACTATTTCCTAACTACCTAACAACCTAAATTCAAATATTTGAATATAATAATAATAATAATGAATAGATTAATAGAGACAGACGACGGCGAAATAATTTCCTTAAAATTACCAATTTTATAATAATTAGAATGTCATTATAATCGATATCATTATAATAAAATATGCGTCATCTAATTAATATAAAATAAAGTGATAATAAATTTAATCATAGTCAAATATGATCCGAACAGTCTAACGAACTAATTTCTTGTAAGAATGAATTTTGAAATCTTGGAAGATTTAAATTCATTCTTATTTTTAAATCCTGCAAGGAGAGAGTAAGTGATCTTCCGAAAGATTTCTCCAGCTCGAAAATCGCTAAGTAAGAAATTGAACGAATCATAAACCTATCAAAAAACGAAAAAGTAAGAAACGTTATAACAAATCGAAAGATATGTATATACAGTGCAGCCGAAGCTTGCTGAAAGTTCGATACCAAGAATGCACAATTTCCCAAATTGCGATGATTAGAACGAATTTCACAGCCATTAGCTCGGAAATTTTCCGTTCGTTCGCTCGGCTTCCATGAGATGTTAATTATGATAAACCGATTACGCGTGCATGTATTCACGCATACGCACACATACATGTGCCAACCAGACGATTAGTAATAGCGCAAGTAGGTAATGGTGTAATCAGAACGGTCTCGAGGGCACCGTCACCGACCTATCTTCACCTATTATCGGCATCCTGATGGGTTAGTCGTTAGGAAACAGAAATCGACCGAAGCGGCTGTCAAGGCTTAATTATTTGCGATCGATTTCCGATGCATCGGATACCGTCGTGACATCAGAGCTGCTGGAAAACCGATGAAAACCTTCGTTGTGCCGGCGAATTGTGCCAAGAGGTCGCAACGGGGACGATGCACCCGGTATTTTTTTTCGCGCGGCATCCGCCGCGTCTGGGTAAACGAAGTCGGAGATTTATAACAGCAGAGCGACTCTTCCGCACCACGTGTAGACAATGACCTCGGTTTATACGACGCGTTATCTCAAGTTGAGGTGTGAGCATAAAACAAACGCGTTACATCTCCGTGATAAGCAAGATATCCCGAAACCACCGGATATTTTAAATACATATATACGAGACCCTGAATGCAAATATATTCTTAGTAAAAAATAATCAAGGCGCCAGGCTAATTCTGGAGTAATAAATTTAGAGTCAAAAGCTTCAAAGAAAAAAAGAAAGAGAATTCTCAATGAATTTAGTTTTGGGGAAACAGAATAAAATTTTTCTTTTCGTTTGAAATTTTAAGTGGATTTCGATAGAATTTTAATTAGAAACATTTGAACACAAAAATCTAATTATGGACTTTAAAAGATTACCACCCTGAAGAGTATAACAGATATTAGATATCTTTTTTGCCAAATACGATCGAATCAGAAAGAGATGCCAGCAGATGTTAGTTGAGGAGAATATTCGAGCAACTTGCAGAATGCAAATTTTGTTTCATATAAAATTAATGTCATTGGCATAATCTAACCGTTAAAATGCTGAAGGATACCATAACTGCTCAACTAGGTTATATTAATATATATGATAATATTACCATAATGCGCTCCTATCTAATGTTAAATATTAATATAAATTTAGTTGATTATCTATAAATAAATCATTTGCAACTGTGCTTTTGAAAAGCAATAGTACTTTTAGTTAGATTCCTGTAAGTATTCGAGAATATATATACCATTTCTATTTTTTTTCCTTGATATTTAATTTTAATTTTCCACAATATTTTTAAATATCTCTAAATTTCTTAACTGCTTTAATTTTAATCACTTTTTAAATATTAGAACATTAAAAAATTTTAATTACGTTCGTCAAGATATACATTAAACTTTTTTATC